TGTGTACTGCGCCGCTGAACGTCTGTCACTGAGCAACTCTTATTCTTCAGAGGCACCATTAAATTTGCCAAACCATGACAAAAGTTGCCCCAAAAAACAATCGCCCAACCGTGTTATAGTGTTCTTGAAGGCACCAACATGGAGTTCTTGAACGTTTCTTATCCCAACTGCATAACCATGCAACTTTAAAAAATACAATAAAATATAGCTTCTGGACTGAAATACCTAGTGGATTGCAAGGTTTGGAAACTAATGGCTACCAAGAAAATACAAACATTAAGTCTAAAGCCTAAAGTTAATGTCCTAAAACTTATAAAACCAACTGAACTGTTAGGAAATTTGTTGTAATGTGTATGTGGTCTGAGTGGTGTAAAAACATCTCACTATGCTTTACAGTGTAGTCAGCTTTCAGTTTCCACCAGTGTGTAGGACGCAGTGGCATCTATCAGTGAAGTTGCAATTTGCAACCATTTAAATACAGTTCAGCCTTCCAAGCATGCAGGACAATCTCCTCCTAAATGTTGCACAGTGGGCCTTTTTAAATGCAATCATGATAAGCGATACAACAGATTGTTGATAGCCGTATTGGTGTAACTTTACTAGCCTTAAAGAGGGTGAGGACCAGAAGGAGATCACCATCGAGCCTGCCCAGGCCCTTGATGAAGTGGAACCACTGCCTGAAGATTGTTATACCAGGCCCATTAGCTTACCAGAGGGTAAGTACGTTTAAGCCTCACTGAACAATACAGATCATTTTTGTCTCTCTAATCGAGGTAGAGTTGAATGTGAGTTTTCGTTGTCCTCCCAGTGACCACGCTGCGCCAGCGGCTTCTGCAGCCTGACTTCCAGCCTGCAGGGGCGTCTCAGCTCCACCCCAGACACAAACACCTCCTGATGAAGCGCTCACTGCGCTGCAGGGTCAGTACGACTTCAGGCTCATACTCTACCGTATCAATCAAAGGCTGTTGTTTTTATGTAGTTCACATTTAGATAATTTTCTTTTCTTCATTTCCTCCTCCAGAAATGTGAGCACAATCTGAGTAAGCCAGAGTTTAATCCCACTTCAATCAAGTTTAAAATACAGCTGGTGGCTGTGTGAGTATTGGTCATCAGATTCTGTCCTAAACATGAGTTTTCATTAATGAAAATATAAATCATCCTAGAGACTGGTGTGGTTTAATAAGATTAAGATCCCAAAGGTTAATTTTAGACAAGTGTAATTATAAGCACATGTTCAGGAAATTGTTTGTGCCAAAGTAGCTGGAACAGATGTAGTAATCTTTACATTTTATACAAGATGTAAAACTGTCCTGAATTATAAACCCAATTTCTTCTATTGACTGTCTTGGGGGTAATCTGTACTTTACAAAGAGCATACTGATGTTCTCAGACTTTTTTTGCTAGTACCATCACCAGAGATCCACTTTGAGCTTTTAATGAATGTGGTTGAATGCTGTCCGTGTGTTACAGTTTATTGATTGGCCTTCTGCCTTCCTTCCCACAGGAGTTACATCCCTGAAGTGAGAATTATGTCCATTCCAAATCTCCGGTACATGAAGGTCAGTGTGTGCACTGGTTCTGGTTAAATAATTCTTTAACATATTGTATTCATTCTGTTCACGAGCTTAACGTAAAAGTAATCCCTCTGTTTGTTAACTACAAAAAAGGGTCAGAGCTGCCCTGCATTGCTTTTCTAAGTAAACTCAACCAGCTTTGAAGGCTAATTTGGTTCCAACTTTTGTCTTTTTCCCATCCCTGTCTATTAAGGAGAGTCAAGTGCTGCTGACCCTGACCAACCCAGTGGAGAACATCACCCATGTGACATTGGCTGCTTGTGAGGACGAAGATCCCGATGACATCAACAGCACTGCCAAGGTACGTAACTATACTTTATTGCTGAAATAAACTGTAGTCACAGAAAGTATCAATTAGTGGGTATTGCACAAATAATCAATGCTCATTACCGTCCCAACTACTACCAACCATTGACACTATGATTTAAACTGTGATGGTGTAAATCCTGCCTTTAATTGACTTTAGGCTGTATGCCTCTTTGTCTTTGCTTTTAATGAGACTTGAAGCTTAAATAATCAATATTTAGTTATGTAAATCCTGAATCTTAAGTTTCAGGATTATGTGAAAAGAGTCTTTCATGACAAACCGTAGAGAATTATCACCCAACTTTCTCTCTGGAGTTAATGAAGACTAAGACTGAGCTTAAAGGCCAGTGAACATTGGACTTACATTTGTCTGATGATCAGAGGATTTGTCAGGACTAAGTGTTTGGAACTACTTCTGCCCCACACGGTGGCCAAAACATCAGTGAACCCGCTGTAAAGACCATCGTGGCTTAAATGGAGAATATAAGAAATGGGCACAGTCACAGCTTGTGGCAGTTGTTTACCACCTGTCTATTCTTAAATATTGCACATTATTTCTGCAGTCTTGCCAGACAGCTTCAGAGAGTTCAGCTCCTTCATACTGCCTGTTCCTTATAGCCCTGTCATCATCTCATATGCAGAGCGTTTGTGCCCCATTTTTACCTCCATCTGTCAGCTGTCACATGCACAGCTAAGAGTGCCGTGTTCCTGTGGTAAATGGTCTGCTGAGCTGCCTGTTGCCAGCAGCTGCTGTGAGGCTCTCTGTGACTACAGGCTGTTTGTCTTGGCCTCTTTAGTGATGAAGTCATGGGCCAGACTGGGTAAGGAAGAGCTCCTGGCCAAAACAGAGCATCTTCATGACCCATTTCCATTCACATTAAAGCCAAACAGGGTGTGCAGTACTGTCATTTCTTCTTGATCTGATATTCAAACACCTGGAGGCCAGAGCTAACCACAGCGAGCCATGCTCGGTTGATTTCATCGACCAGCTCTTTTCAAGGATGGCTTCGCTTACTTCTTACATATGTATTATCTGTTTTATCTAAACATTGTGTTCAGTTTGCTGAGGGTAAAGTATATTCATTTCATGCGTAAATGTGATCCAGGTTCCTTTTCGTCCCTCACACATGACACAAATATGACTTGTTTTCTGAGCAGCAACATGAATAAGTTGAATTCAAATTGGATTTTGGTAGACCTTCAAAAGGAGCAGCATGAATCAGTGGTCCTCGATAGAGCCACAAGCCTTTGTCAGAGAGGTTCAAAAGATCAGACTAAAGCCGTCATTTATTATAACCGTAAACTAATATTTATTTCATGTTTGTGCAAATTACCGAAAGCCATTTTAATAGTTAATTATTTTGATCTTTTTTGCACACCATTTCCTGTCCAGACATATGAAAATATTAGAATATTAATTTGTGTCTGATATTTTTTGCTTCACAGACAGTTATATTGTATTGTTAAAATGTGTGAACTACATATACTACTTCTCTATCATTGGAAAAAACTCCAGAATCTCTGGATAAGCTAATATTGTTCCAAACACTTCCACTTCCAAAGTTTAACTACTGGATACATTATGTCTCTTACGTCCTATTCTCAATGTATGTCCACTGTAGGCTTCTAGTTCCCACATCACCCTTGTATAAGTTGCATATTAGAGTTAGTTGTGAAAACTATGCTTGTACTTGCATGTCTTGAACTCGGATTTAAGGTAAAACATAAAAACATTCCTCCTTCAGCAGATGAATGTGAAAACAACCTTTTAGTCTCTAACTCTGCATCAACATCCGTACAGTGAAGGTCAAACATAAGTGAAGTAACAATAAGCCAAGCACGTTTTGATTTGTTTTTCAGTTGATTTTGTTGCATGTGACATTTCAAATGTAGGTTGATTCATGCAGTAGTCTGAAAGTCACTGAAAGTCTGAACTTTTTTTTTATTTTTTTAGGTTATAGTACCCACAAAGGAGCTGGTCTTGGCAGGAAAGGATGCTGCTGCTGAGTATGATGAACTGGCTGAACCTCAGGACTTCCAGGATGACCCAGAGTAAGCTTACACTCTCTCTCGCTCTCGCACTAGCACTCGCACACTCTTACACTAACACTCACGCTCAAACGCACAAAGAATTAATAGCGTGAGGTAACTCTTAACCTGATCCCTCTGACTTTTCCGCAGTGTTGTTGCCTTCAGGAAATCCAACAAGATTGGGTTCTTCATCAAAGTGATCCCTCAGAAAGAAGAGGATGCGGATGTCGCTGTTTCATTTAAGATCCGGCACGACTTCCGCAACCTCGCAGCTCCCGTCAGGCCGAGCGAGGAGGGAACCGAAACCACCACGGAGGCCATTTGGCTCACACACCACGTAGAGCTGCGGCTCGGACCGCTCGCTCCCTGAACACGAATGCTCCGTTTACCATCAAATAGTCCTAGTGTTGGATTCTTTGAACTAAACTGTGGGATTCATTTAATTTACAAATGATTTCTGATTCTGCTTATTGATGTGTAAGAACAATTTAAGAATACATAGCATACAGTTGTTTCAGAGTTTTTTATTAGCTTAAGTTGCATCATCAGATACATTGCAGAACATACAGTGATTACATGATAGCCCAGTTTATTAAACTGTATAAAACATGGCTGACCGCAGACTAACTTAAGTGCATCAAGTTTAACTTAATGTTTTTCTTTTGTTTTAATGTTGCTAAAAGCAGTACCAAAAACATGACGTTATAGTGTATTTTACCATCATCACCATCATCCTCTTCGGCTTAAACACTATATAATCTATCAGTAGAAAGCACTATTAGTGTGAGGTTACTTATAGACAACAGAACATTATATATACACATATTACTTATTAAAAACTGTTTTTTGTTTACAACTATTTGCTGTTGCTGGAATGTGACAGAATTTATCACAGTTGTACATACAGTATTTTCTTAAATGCCAATAACTAACCTGGCCTCTGTTTCTGCACTTACAGTATGTTTTGTCTTATTAAATCTATTAGCTGTGGATTCTTTTGTAAAACGGTGGTATTTAATTTATGTAGAAAAGTGCAGTTTTTTGTTCAGAGATGACAGCGAGTGGTTACACATGAATAAAAACAGCATCGAGGGTATAAAAACAGTAGACGTTGAATAACGTCGATGAGCAGAATCAGAAATCATAACTGAGAACAATCTGAACGATAACCAGTTGTGCAGCACACACCTCTGCGCTTTTAGCTTATATATCCTTGTCAACACCCTTTTCTGCAGACAATAGTATTGTATTAACTCGCATGCTTCAACTATGGTAAATATTGCACATATTAGACAATGTCATCACAAATCCTGTACTGTTTTCTTACCAGAAAGGTTGTTTGTAGGTTGAAGGTGATACCACCTGCCCGTGATTTTACTATGTCTACTATTGTCTGAAGTCAAACCTTCATTGGCACTATGGAGAGGATGTATAAGAAGCTCTGTAAATTACAGTGTTCATCATTTAAATCTACTGAGACACTATAATTTTTTTTTTCTGATTTAAAAATGTATTTTTGTTGGTAGAATTCACTGACTTCTGTCAGTGTATATCGTAAGATGCTGTCATGTTTGGTCTCCAGTGTGTTAGTAAAACAGAGCCTTCCAACAAACACAGTTAATCTCTGTAACAGTTAATAAACTAATGTGATACTGTAACAGGCCTCTTGACTTTATTTGTTTGTCTAGGCCTGACTATAACTTTTAAAGCTCACTGAAGCACGACAAACTCTTCTGTGCATTACCTATTTCTCACCACAGGGTGGAGCTCTAGGCAAGCTGTTTATAGATACTGTAGCTGTTGCATGGGGAGCTTTGTGAAGACATGAGAGAGCATACAGGGAAATGTTTTCCTTTTATTTGTATGATCTTGACGGACCCTACAAGCTGAAACAGTGCATCAGATCACAGTAATGTGTGGCTGAGAAGGTACAGGGCGCTCTGACCCAGACAAACATTTTAATAATAATCCAAGCAAAGCTGGGTGATTTTTTTTTCTTCTGGGTATGAGTCATGAGGATAAAATGTCTGCTTGTCAACAGTAAGAGTAGACTAATGGATTTTGTGTTCCAACAGATACCGTTTTGTACTGAACATATATCAGTCCTGTTCAGTGATGCTCTGCACACATGGGACGGTTTGTTTTCCACTGGAAAGACAGATCAGATAAGTGTGATGCAGGCCTGTTGCAGCTGTCCAATGAGGCCCGTCTGCTGTGTAAACAGACCCACTTCGTCTGGGTAATAAAGCCATGATTTTCTTTTATCTTCAGCAGATATAAACAGCTCAGAAGAGTGGCCTGTGTGAGAGCCATAAATCAGCCCTGAAGATGAGGTAATAAAGCACACATGGAGCGAGTCCGTGCCACTGAAACAGCCAGACTCCCACTCAAAGCACAGCTGATGATAGCAGTAGCTGACTTTCAGTGCACAGCAGTGGTGTACTGTACCTGCTCTTTGTGCTGGGAATATATTTTATTAAAAAAGATGAACACTTGCTGTGCTAAACCTGTATAAAAATAGCCATGGCCATAATTGAATTCAAGAGGAACAAGACAGTGATTGAAAACGACTGTGCATATAGGGGAGGAGATTTATGCAGAAACCTTATGACTGACTCATGAGTAGACCTTGAATGATGCCCAAAAACACCGTCTGGAAGATAAATTCTGGATTCTTCTGGTCAGGATAATATTTTCCTGGATCAAGACTTGAGCTATTTCATGCTCAGCATCAGCGTGTTCTTATTTGTAGAACCTCATTCTGTAAACAGCACAGAAATCTGACCTGTGACCATGTTATGGGGATTAGAAATTAATATCAGGGTGTTCCAGCAGTGTCGGGTAAGTAAGTGGCTTAGTAAAGAACTTTCATGTGTCTCCTTTCCTCTTCCTGTTTTTCCTCTTTTGAAGACTTAACATCTTTATTTATAAAGACAGACCCGGCCAGCCTTGACCAGATGAAAAATTCCTCACCGAATTACAAGTTTGAATGCACCCAGGACCTTTCCGCAATTACGTCATCGTCCAAACTGCCAGTAATTTACCCGCAGAGGAAGCATGACACAAGCAAGTAAAAGAGGAGAAAAAGCTACACCTCAACAGAGGCAGTAAATCCCCTCCATCTCATAAAAAGATGGCCTCTAGAAGTCTGCACGACTATCATGTTACCTACTCTCACGGATCAACTATGCAGTGCGTACTGTACATGCATGAGGTGTGCTTTCCTCATTAAATATGCCAAGTGGGATAGATTTTGCCTATATAATCATCCCTTTCTTCTCCTGCTTGTGGACCAGAATAGTATGGACATGCCCTATTTCTGGGGGCATGAGGAGGAGAATCACAAAAAGACCCCAAAAGCTCCTTTTTTTATTTAAGTTGAGCAGTAGGCCTGAAGGTGCTCTTAGTGATTAATCGCCTTCTTCATTTTCTGCTCACCAGACCATCATCTGGTTAATTAGAGGTAATTGATGATGTCTACCCAGATGAATAACTGTAGGCATGTGGGTTTCCAAAGCTGGGAGAGCCAAACCTGTGAAACCTTAGCTTTTTCAAGGGGGAAAAAAAAAGTCATTTTCTCTCCATCTCCCTCCATTTCCTCTCGCTTTCATTCTCAGTCTGCATTCTGAAGGCTGTAGGTTAGCTGGAATGTTGACTTTGGACGCCTGGTTGAAAAAGATCGCTCTGAGAAAGCAGCTGACCCTCGACACCCCCTCCAAGCCCCCCTCTCCAACAGGGAGTCAGGCTGCAGCCCTGTGCTCTGTGTTTTCATGTATTATTTGCTCAATTACTCGCCGGGTGCATTACGTGTGTTGGGGCACAAGTGTGTCAGCACCCGAGCTGAGGCCAGTGCCACGGACTGGGGCCTCAGGGGGGGAACCACCGAAGCCACTGGGGGGCTCCAAGACTGCTGTTTGCTCTGAGTACAAATGAAATCAGACAGATTAGTCTATAGCTTAGTGAGGGAAGTAATACCCTTAAAGGAATAGTTTGCATTTTTGACCAGATGCCACACTGATTTTTGTGATGCCACTGTTGTCTTCTGTCTTCCTGTAGAGATAAGATGTATGCCTGAAGTCAAACATACATCTGATAATAGGTTCAAAATAATTGTTTTGAATGTTGGAAGTGTTGAAGTCACAAATCTGGCTACAGTTTGTGAAATCTGCTAATTTTCTTTTGCAAAAACATTACATTTAGTAGAAATAGGGATTGTAAACAAAATTTTAAAATACGTAAGTTTTTCTTTAAAAATACACTAAGCAGAGGACACACTGTTGATGCTAAAAATGTTGGTTCCCATTTTCTTTTCTAAGGTTACATTGTCATCTTATTGATATTTATTTTCTTTGATATTGTGATACTTGGATTAGGTTACTGACTGAGTAATTGTATCCCAACCCTGGTTAAGCAGCAGCTTCATATTTAGCAGGCAGATTGGATAGTGGTATCAATCTTCACATGTAAGTAAATAAGTAAGCAAATAAGTGTATTTTCCAAATTAAGTAAGAGGCTATTTTCACTAGCATGTACACTAGTCTGTGTGCTGAGTTGTGTCGACACCTTGACGATCAACTTGAGCTTGAGCATGCTGCCATAGTCACACATAGGTTTGAGTTTTCCAGCAGGCTTTGGGTCTCTTTGCACAAACATATAATTCCAGTCACAGGACATTTTGACCTGGAACACGAATGACACTCATTTATTTGCTTATATCAACAAACAGAGCAGAGCTTGAGTTCCCCTGACATTTATAGAAAAGAGTCACGCACCTCTGCACCTGCCTCGCTAACATCTTAATTCAATGATGCCCGGCACAAGATAATCCTCTGTGGTCTATAAGTATCCACCCAAACAAGGATCATTAATTGCCCCAAAATGAATTACATGCCCTAAAGAAATTCAGCCACACGCCAGCAATAATGCAAGTTCAATAAATAAAGGATTTCAATTAAGGCACACTTGTAATATAAGCACTATTGTTGCCTCACTGTGGACGGTATAGCTGGAGGCTTCTTGAGCAGCTAAGCCCCATTAGCTCTTGCTGATAGTGTTCTGGCAGCTGAGAACGTGTGGATGGATGTGGAAGACAGAGGCGGCTGCTTTCCACTGTGAAGCCGTCCCAGGGCGTGCAGCCAAACCCACCGAAGCCCAGCCCAACATGACCCACCACCACAAATACTGCATATTCAAGTCCAGTATGGACACACAAGTTCCCAGCACAGAGCAGTGCTGTATTTCACCCAGGAGAGGCTAAGTTAAATCAATGTAGGGAATCAATGAGAGCTTCATTGGATTTACAGGGCAGGAATATGAAATGTCAAACTGTAGATGTGGATTTGTTGTAGACTCTATCAGTGGCACATTTCACAGGCTGAGGAGGCCCTTTAAAAGGCTGGAGGACGATGAAAGCCCCTGAAGATTGAAGTTTGAGTTCACAGTTGGAGTAAACAGCAACAGATTGGAAAGCTTTTCATCATACAGTGTTGCATAGTCATGGCTTCAAACTTTTCTTCTTGTGGAATATTGGATAACGTCAGGGCTTTAAACAATCCATCAAATGAGACACATCCGAGACAGAAAAAAACTGATTACTCTCATCCAATGACTACACTAGCTATGCAACCTGTGATGAGAGGTCACGAGTAGGTTACGAGCCAAAAGGGTTGAAAACAACTGATTTAAAACCGTATTTTAGTGACATTTCCGTCGTATTTTGCCACAGGCAGTTAATTTTAGTTGACCGTTCTGTTGCTAGTAGCAACCTCTACTGGCTGCAGTTTAACAGCCCCCATTTTGTCAGGTCTGTCATCAAATACTGACATGTTTCTTTTATCTGCCACTGGCGCATTATCTGTAGGTACTCTTTCTTTCATTTTGTGATGGTTGAGTTGTGTTTTGTTAATTTAACGCAATCAGTTTAATGCTAACCAAGCTATCCAGTGTGCTAGCTGTCTGAGGGTAATACAACATTTTAAATAACTGTTGTACTGCTAAATATATGTGTTTTACTCTTGTAGACAAATTATTTTTATTTATTATTTTATTATCAATTGACCAACACCTTTGGTCTATAGTCTAGGGTATTCAATGTTTTTTACAAATGTATTTTATTTTATTTGTAACCATTGAATTTGTTGTCCAAATTGTTTTCACAGTTTTACTTCCTTCTGGCGGTGTAGTTGCAGATTGCAACTCCCATGCTTCACCCTCTGCTTTCAGATGCAAAGGAGAAACTACAGTGGCCGCAAGTCCATATCTAGTGTTTGGTTTGTCCATTCTGGGCTAACATTGTGGTTCAACATTGCGACCTCTGTGGAAGGCTGCCTGCGGTGTCTGTAGATATAAACGGTTCAGTCTAAGGTAACTTAACAATTACTATATTCAGCTGATTAAACACTAATGAAAACATATTATATTCCATTTCTGCCAATAGATCCTCCTGCATGTTACACACTGGACCTTTAAAAGGCCAAGTTTAGGGGGTATTTTCATTCAGTACTGATTATCCTTAAGGCCCAAATGATCTTTATTTCCACCTGCACCCTACTAACTCTGTACCCACTGAATTAATGAGAACATCATCTGTAAAAGAGTTTTAATAGATACTCAAGCTCAACTGTGGAAACAGAGTCAGACTCAAGATCCCACAGGGACT